CTATTTTTATTACAACTTTGTAAGCTTCCCCAAATCATGAAATGAGTTCTTATATGTAAGTGCTGAAATAAATAAATAACAATGTGGATCTGCTGAAAGCTAATCACACATTCTTGTTTCAAGTGCGAGTTGTTGCAGCACAGCCATTTTTGCATCGCAACTTCTGTTACAAATTAGCTAACTTTCCAAAAGTATTTTTTCCCCTTTGTATGTAACCACAAAATGAACTTGCCTGGCAACCTTTTTTTCTGCCATATACTCATGACATTTTGTATGTATGTATGTATGTATGTATGTATGTATGTATCCATCCATCCATCCATCCATCCATCCATCCATCCATCCATCCATCCATCCATCCAATTTATATAGCTGCCCATCTCAACAAATGACTGTGTGGAGAACTGTTAAAATAAAATATAAACAACTATTAACATGACAAAAGTTAAAATACATAGCAGCTGAACAACATAAACCTAAACCACTAGCGCAGTGGTTCTCAACCTGTGGGTCGGGACCCCATTTGGGGTCGATCGACCATTTCATGGGGGTCACCAAGCAAGGCTGTCCGCCATTTTTTTGTCCGCCATTTTTTTTGTCTGCCATTTTTCCCCCTTTTCCGGCGGGTGCCTTACCTCCCTTGGGCTGGGCCAGCCGCTTGCCAGCTACCCCTCGGCCGGCGCAGGGGGCGGAACCACACATGTGCGGCGCTCCCGGGCAGGGAAAGTCCTCGACTTACGACCGGTTGGGTAGTCCTCGACTTACGACTGGTTTAGTCCTCGACTTACGACTGGTTTAGTCCTCGACTTATGACTGGTTTAGTCCTCGACTTACGACCGGTTGGGGTCGCGGCATTAAAAAGGTTGAGAACCACTGCACTAGCATAACCAAGTAGCGGATCCCTGCACATCTTTGGGGTCCCAGGTCCAGGCCTAGAACCTGGACTTCAGGGCCTTATGAAAGGCAGAGCCATTTTCCAGAGGAAGAATGTTTCATAAGCCGGGCACTACCAAAGAAAAGGCATGTCTCTAGTAAGCCCTACCAGCTGACATTCTTTGGCTGATGGGGCCTGATCAGTCAGGTAAAAACAGCAGGAGAGTTGATCCCTCAAGTAACCCTGTCCTTTAAAGGTGACAACCAGCACCCTGAATTGTATCTGGAAGCACACTGGCAATCAATGCAACTCATGGAGTAACTGTGTTACAAGAGTCAAATAACTGGTATCATTTAATGCCCTTACTTCTGCATTCTGCACCAGCTGAAGTTTTTTGAATGCTCTTCAAGAGCATCCCTATAATCAGTGCATTATAGTAGTCCAGGCAAGAGGTCATGAGGGCATAATGACAAGTAAGCACCCTTGGTCCCGGAATGGATGCAGCTAGCACACAACTTCCTATAACAGAGGAAGAAGAAGAACCAGCACAACACAGCCATTTGTCTGAAATGGTATAGGGTTACCTGCCTGAGCAGGGGGTTGGACTTGATGACCTCCAAGGTCCCTTCCAACTATTATTATTATTATTATTATTATTATTATTATTATTATTATTATTATTATTATTATTATTATTATTATTCTGCCACCCACATCCAACTCCCAGAATTGGTTCAGAAGTATACCATGATCAAAAGCTGCTGAGCAGTCAAGAAGAGCAACAATGGATCCACTATCCTCATTCCACTTGCCAGATTTCATCCAAGAATTGACTAATGCTGTTTCCATCCTTTTTTTTGTCTTTTTATGACTCTTTAATACCTTTATTCAGGGTGAAGTCAGGGCAACTGAATGGGCCTGAGCATTTACTGGCCGGATGCCCTTCCTGACATCTATGCAGAGTTCGCAGCAGATATTTTCTCTTTGCATCCTAATAAAGAAACATCTCTACTGCCTAGGATTGAACTCTCAACCCTCTGAGTGGGAGGTGAGCGTCTTCATCTCTAGGCCACTGTGACACTCCCACTATTTCTATCCCATGCCCCAGATTAAATTCAAATTAATCTTAGGCCAAGGTGTTGATAATCTGTTTCATCCAGAGCCCATTGAAATCGCACTTCAAAAAGGGAAGGTTGGAAATCAGATGAAAACTGTCTAGACTAGTTGGGTTAAGCAATGACCCCTTAAGAGCTCATGGAACTCCTCTCCCTCAAGAAATAATTAACCACCACGAGAACCCAACCGCACATCCCCTCCTGGACAGCCTTGACCAGCCAGAAGGGCATGGATCTAATACAGAGTTGGCTGAAGTAACTGCTACAAGAACCCCACCCACTTCCCCAGGCTCAACAGATAACCATTCAAGACCTAGCCTCCGTTGCCAACTTCAATGCAAAGTCCACCATAGACAGATTGCTAGCATATTCTTCACAGCAACCCTTTAAGTAGAATTACTCCTTCCAAGGAGGGTTTTTGTTACCCAAAATAGGACCACCAGACAGCTCTGCAGATGCAATAAGGGAAGAAAAATATATTTTGCCACCCTTTCTGCCACAAGGTACGCTCTAAGAGAAGTTCTAGCCTGTGTTTGGTGAGATTTGCTCCTTGTTGTCTTCCACTAGTGCTTTAGGCATCTTTTTAGCTCAGGGGTCCCCAACCTATGGGCTGCAGCCCACAGAAATGGCTGGCCAGTGGGCGCGCACGTGGGCACGCATTTCCCACTTGTACTAGCACCCGCAGCCTGTTTGTGCATTCATGCAGGCACGAATGGGGGCCTTAGCATAGAGTGGGTGTCCGCGGTCCATTTGCGCATACGTGAACAGGCTGCTAGCTGGGGTGGGTTGTGTGGCCCATTTGCGCATGCGCGAACGGGGCTGCTATCCACGGGGGTGCGCGGCTGTTCACGCATGTGCACGGTGCCAGCACATGCCGCATGCATGAACGGGGCTAGTGTGTGTGGCTGTGTGCGCACGCATGCACTAATTTTGAAGCTGCTCTCCTTCCCTCTGGTCCGCAAGCCCGGAAAGCTCTTCCACACCTAAAATCCAGCTGGGCACATCTCAGAAAGGGGACACCCCCCCCAAGCCAGGTCTCAGTAATACATGGTAGGTTGGCACTCTCAACCACAATCCATAACCCCAAGAGTGGCCTTCCACTATCTCCCATCTAGCCCTATAAGTCACTATTAAGCTATATCCCATCCTCATTCTTCCAGAGGTTTCATGTTGCTTTCGTTTCCTTCTCAATATCTGTGGCAGCTTAAAGTCATTTTTAGTCATTCCAGAACCAAATAGTACCTGCCTTTTTAAGCAGGTAATAACATTGACTTCCATTCCAGGGCCATTCCACTTTGGATAGTAGAGAAGTCCTGTTCTTTCAAACCAAAGTTTTCCCCTTTACCTACTAGGTAAAGGCTTCCATATCAGGATCAGTCTGAAAAGGAGCTTGACCCATGATGGTGAAAAGGGGAATTGTGCAATGAAGCTGGACACAGACAACTGTCTCCCTCCTTGCTGTTTTACAGCACAGCTTTGTCTGCTCCTATCAATTGTTGTTTGGGATATTTTTGAACATGGGTATAGTTTTCTTTAAGAATAGTAGTAAACCTGTGTCAAAAGGAGCCTTTCAGCTGATAACAATTGTCAGTGCCTCCTTTTGAATGCACTTTCACAAAAACATGTTAACAAACTAGAGCACTTTGGCAGTTCTATCCCCAAACTACATTAAGGAAAATAATTGCTGGTTCACACTGGCTGGCGATATTTGTTGAAAGGGGGAGGAAAATAATGTAAAATGTCATTGACAAGATACGAGTTTCTAGATTTGTATTATGTTATAAACAGCAGTCAACAGTACATGTTGTGATTTTCATTCAATTCTAGATTCTAAAAGTGGAATCTAGCATTACTAGATGTCCAGGGCCCCACGCAGGCTGGAGCAATGTATATGCAACTTTGGTTCTCAAAAGATACACAAAAAATTTACAACCTTCTAAAATAAGATAATAAAGACCTAGTTTATTACAGAGTTAAGGTATCAGTCTAGAAACTGAGAGACTGTGATTTCTGACTTAGAAAAAGCCAGCTGGGTGACTTTGGAACAGTCTATCTTTCTTAGCCCTAGGAAAGAGGCAACAGCAAACCACTTCCAAAAATCCTTGCCAAGAAAACTGCAGGGATTAATCCAGGCAATTACCAGGAATCAATACTGACTTGAAGGGGCCAAAAGAAAAATAAATTCTGCAAGACTTTTAAAAGGCTGTGTTTCTTAAATAGCATAACAACACAGGCTATCTTACACTAAGCAAGACTATTAGGCTATTCACCTCATATATGTTAGTTCATATTTATAAGTAGAAACTTTCTCTTACACAGGAATTTTTCCCAGACGTACTCAGAGACAATAGTAGCCATACACACAAATTTCTTGAAATCCTTAGTTTATACCAGTGGTGGCGAACCTATGGCATGGGTGCCAGAGGTGGCACTCGGAGCCCTCTCTGTGGGCACACGTGCCGTTGCCCCAGCCTTGCCTCCCCCCGTGACCCCGTCCTCTCCAGCAGCCCCCCTGGATGAGAGTCGCCCCCGAGTGTGGCCCACGTGGAGCAGCACAGCCAAGGACATGGCAGCCGGGCAGTGTAGACAAGACTTTGCCCTCACGCCCCATTGCGCACAGTTGATGCTGCGGGGCACGGGCAGAGGGCATGGCTGACATGGTGCTGCTGGGCGATCTGCGGCAGGCCCTGGAGGCAATGAGTGGCCCTGCGGGCAGGCGGGGTGGGGGCGGGGCAGGGTGTGGAGCGGGGGCGGGGCCAGTATTGGGGCACTCGGTCTCTAAAAGGTTCACCATCACTGGTTTATACCATATTAAAATATGTAAAGCTTATTGGATGTAGCTTGAAATGCAATGTAGGATTTATTTGTACAATGAAAAACAAATGAACAAAGAATTTGAGCATAACTAAAATAATCTGCTGAGGCCAATTTAAAAGGTTTTGATAACACTTTCTAATTAGCTATTGTATTTAATAAAAAGATACTGCTGTTTCATTTTATTTTTTATTTGAACATAGTGTCAAAATTAATGCTGCTATATAATAAAAATTCTGACGTAGGCCTACAGACAACACATCACAGGAGTACATAAGTGCTTCAAGCATGGAATGAGAAAGAACAGAAAAAACAAAGAAATGAAGCAGGTTTGTCCTTCCAGTGCAACTTGTGCAAGCCTGTTATATATCATTAAACAAAACCAGAGCCACCATTTAGGCTTTATGCCATATGTTTTATATTTAGAGTACACATTGAGTACAAAAATGATGGTTACACTGAATTATTCTGACTATGACATTTCTTTAGGATATATTATAAATTAAAAGCTACAATGCAGACTTCCTTCCACATTTTTTACTAGCCTGAGTGGGAAAGAACAGGAAGGGCTCAATTCACGTCAGGTGACATGACTACAATACAACATGAAGCACACTTAATTTGGGAAAAAGAATCCAAACAAATATTTTGTGGGATTTATTTCTGGATGTGTACACATACAACTGATTTGTAAACTATAAAGTGATAAAACAAATTCTGGACAAACAAACAATGCTACTTATTTTAAACCAATCAAAATTTAACGTAGCTGGATTGGGCCTAAAATCTAATCCACATAAAACTGCAGCATCTGAATAGAAGAGAAACTGTCCCAAAATTAGTAATTGCTGTAAATTGTTGTAATTGCTATACTGTATCTTTAAAAATGCTGTTTCTGGCATGGTGCCATGCAACTGGCTAGCATGCATCCAGTAATGTCCATAACATATTTTTAACAAATAGAAGATAAAAAAATCAGCTTGCATTAAGATTTTTGATGAGGCATGCAGCAATCACACATTGCAGTTAATACTTCATGCAAACTTTAGCATGTCTTTAACTTTACATTCCTTCATGTGCTAAGAATTCACATGCTATGAAACAAAAGGTGTGTTATTCATCCCTACTTGAGGAAAAAATCTTAGGTTTTTTTTCTATCTAATTAATAAGACAGGCTCTACGTTTCAAGCCCATTCACACTTTATCAGGGAAGTTACTTAACTGTATAGCCTATCATACACAACCATATTCATACCAAATAGTTTGGGTATCTTCATCAGCTGGTAATGGGGATTCACTATCATTAGGGTCTGAATGCACAAGGATTTTAAATTTGTTGCTATTCTGTGTGATATCTACCTTTTTATTTTCATTTTCAGATTTCTGATTTTCAAAAGGTTGTTTGTGATCTTTCTGTGGCAATTTCACCAATGAATGAAATGATTTAGCTGTTTTGGTTATGGATGTTTGAGGTATTCCACTAACATCACAGACTAATTCAGTATTAAGCGTCAGAAATGGCATAGAAAAATGGCCTGAAGATGATATACCCACTTTATCATTATTTACATTACTGAGAGAAAATGTTTTAGTAATAAATTTGGTCTTTGTTCTGGAATTGCTAAGCCTTTCAGGTATATTCAAATTATCAGGTATAGTAATATTAGCTAAGTCATTTTTGGAAAAACTAACTGCATTATCAGGAGCATAATAAAAAATAGAAGTTTGTTGTTGAGGATTGTACTCACTCGAAGATGATATAATATTTTGTTCAGCTGTAGCTGGAGAAGGATCAACAAATATTGGCTGCCTAGTGTCCTTAGATAAAAAATCATGGATACTGGTCCTCCGAGTAGTTCCTTCTGCTGTTGAAATCACACTGCTTGCACGAGGTAAAGTAGCATAGGGATTGCAGTCTTTGGATTGTCGCTGTGACTGGACATTTTCTTTAGCAGATCTGATCTTTCCTTTAGTGCCTGCAGCATATGTCTCTAAAAAGTTCCAATCTTTAGAATCTTCTGTTCTGTTTAAATTGAGCCTTGCAAGAGGCTCTTGCTTACCTAACTTTACATCAGATAATTCTGTTGTATTTCTTACACTCTGCGATCTGACAATACCACTACTGCCTGATGTGGGTTTGCTTAGTTTTTCTCTTCCTGTTAATTCAGCATTCTCCGAAAAAAATTTCATTACTTCATCCAAAAGATTATCTTTGCTTGAAGACTTTAGCTGCAAAAATTGATAGAAAAAGAGAATGAATATAAAACACACACACAATTTTCCTATCAAATTTATACTGATCCACAGACTAAACTTGCCCACCTGGCCCTATCTCTCTCCTTTTGGAGACTGCATTTCGTCTAACAACACATTGCTTAGGTCCCAATAGCTACCTGTACCTGCAAACCTAATTCCAGAAGAACTATGGCGTATTATGAAAAATGTTTTCTCTGATGCTGAATTACAAAGTATTGTTGCTTGTAAATGAGCTGAGAAAATTATTGAACTTTTATTTTAAGAAACCTGAAAAACATAGCATAAAACATTAATTCTAAATTGCCAATTTATTTAATCTCCAAAATGAAAATATCACAATTTACAGAGATATACACTAATAGCTGCAAGAACAAATTTGGGATAACAATGAAAAAAAAGATCCTAGCAAATTGTGTCAAACTGGGAGATAAAATTGGAGAATATGTAGCAATGGCAAAATTAACGTTATATATTCATAATAGACATCTAACTAAATTTAAGCAATTGAAAAATACACTTTTATATTGTACTTTTTTGCAGGATCAAACCACAAGCTTAAAAATAAAGAATTATTTAATTATAGCAGCCAAAATAATAATTGTTCAACACTGGTAAACTTTAGAGAATATAAAAACTGAGTTGTGGATAAGTAAAGTCTCTTCAATTGCCATATTGGAAAAAAAAAACCACAGATAAAGTAATGAAATTTCAGAAACAGGAATCACAATTTTATCAAACTTGGTTAGATTTTATGATTTACCTTAAGAACAATAGATTATAATCTGGTGTATTACTTATATATGATAAATGTTCAAATGTATAGTACTTGATTTTTTTATTTACATACTAATATATTTTTTTATTTTCTCTATTTTTTTAAATATAGCTTGGAATTACATTAAGGCAGCTAGCTCATATTGTAAAAGGAAAAATAAGCAAGAGACTACTTTTCCTTAATAAAGAGAGAGAAAAAAATGAACTAATGAATAATATTGTAGGGTTGGAAAACACTAGACTGGTGATGAATCATTGAGTAAAAAGCTATGCAGGACTGGTGTTTGGATGCAAGATATCCCTTGAAGGGGCATTAAGCTACTTTAAGACTATATGCCAGCTGATCATATTTGATGAGGTTGGTGCCATAAGGTCCAAAGAAACTGAACACTAGTGAGAAGTTATAGAAAAAAGTGAAAACTAGAGAGAAGCTACAGAAATGATAGTAACTGGGAAATTTCCCAAAAGACAACCAGTTTCAATCTCATAATTTTGTAATGGAAATGGTTGGAGGGTGCTAATCTGGCCCGTCTTCTTGAGCAGCGAGGTAGCTTGGAGAATAAGATTTCAAAGAAGACCTATCAAGAATATTTGTCTCCAGAACTGAGTCCTGAACGAATTCGAAAGAGGTTGAATGGACAAAGGGGAAGTTGCTGAAGAAGAAGCAAAAGGATTTTCAGACAAATACTAGGACCTGGGAGGAGTTTAGGAGGACTTTTAAAGACTTATGGTATCTTCTATTTTATTCATTTTATTCATTTCTAAAAAGCAGAATGAGATTCAATGAATGATTATGGCAAACCTATTTTATTTACGCTATAATGTAACACAGTTGCTGAAAACATTATTTAGGGCTTGAGAATAACCATTCTGTTGTAAAAAATCTGAGATTAATTTTCTGTAGGCTTATTCAAGTCTACCATGCATAATGGCATTATCTTCTTTTTATAGATATGACCATTAATAGAATGTACTTTTTTAAACTAAGCATTTCAGCTATTACTTTCCTACTTGGTTATCTTCTTCAAATTTTTAATAAATAAGGAATGCTGGTTCTGAGATTTAAAATTAGTTGTTTTTCTTTCCTGGATTTCAAATCAATTGTCATGATCTACTTGAACTCATATTATGTTTACTCAGGCTTAAGTTATGTCTCTTAAAATTAAGTAATTTTTAACATACCTCTGCTGAAGTAACTTTATGACTTTCTTCCAGAAATTGCTGCAGAGTAACCATTTCACTTCCAGGGGATTCAGTTTTAATTCTCCGCATTCCTTGTTTATCTATTTTTTCTGACATTGTATGATGAAGCAGGAGACTAGATTTAGTGTGACTTTTCAAATACTGTATGGGGCTGCTGCTACTACTGGACCATGCTTCATGCTCATGAAGAAGGCTGAATTCTCCACTACTGTGGCTTTGAGGCCTGCTTTGGTTGTTAGTTGCACCTGCTTTAGAATAAACAGCATTGATATTTTTCTTAGCTAAAATAAATTACAAACGTTTTAACAAGTACATTTGGAATGAAATACAATATATTGCTAGATGTTTTTAAAGCACTGAAACATCAACTGCTGTACAGTAATATGCTTAAACACCTATTAAAATTTGTATAATAAAATGTATTTCCTTAATTTTTCCCTTTACGGGCTCTTCATTATGACATCTAATGTTCATTTAAAAAGTTTTGACTTCAACTTTCTTTTAAAACATCACTTTCCAATTTTCTATACATACATATACATTCCCACCATACACATCCAACACACAAACCTTTTCAATAACCCAAATAATAGAATCATAGTGATCTGCTATCTTTTATAATATGTTATAAAAGTAATGAAATTCAAACATGAAAATAATATTTTCAAGTTAATAAATATTTTGCTGAAAAGATTTATTTAAAAATACATTACTCTTTATATAAAGTCTCAATTCCTATGAATATAATTTGAAGAAGAGACATCACACTATGCACAAAATAACTGAAGAAATGCCAATTTCTCATTTTGGCATTTCTTCAGTCCAAAGCAGTTACCTGGAAACTATTCTTTGCAATATTTTGAATAACAATTTAAAAAACTTCTAAGCAGTATATATACTTAACTGACATAGTATTTCTGGAGGGAATAATTTATATTGGGAAAAACACAAATGCTCAAAAAGATACAAAATCCAGTAAAATTAATGAAATGAATTCATTGAGACAGTGATAGTTGGTTGTGCATGATCTGCTTTAAATAGAGATATTTTTTACAACAAAACAACAAGCTAAGTAGCCAGCCTAGTGTGCTTCTGGAGCTTTGGATAGGAGACTTTTCTTTCTTTTGCCTTTTTGTTACCTTTATTTGTATAGATCTCACTCTTGATATATCTAAACATTCTTTATACTCTCCTTTTTAATTTTTTTTTCTCTTTATGAGAAGAAATTTTTTTTCTTAATCTTCTCTATCCACTTATATCTGCATTTTTCCTTTACTTTACTCCTATCAGTTCTCATTTCTTCCTTTTTTTCTTTCTCATGTTATGTCTCTTATTTGCATAAATTCCACTATAGAAATATCTAAATATTTTTATACTCTCCTTTTCTGAACCCAAAGATACTTTTCCAAAAGGCAACTGGACTTTCTTGGTTTTTCCCTTGAAAACATTTCGCTTCTCATCCAAGAAGCTTCTTCAGTTCTGACAATCAGAACTGAAAAAGCTTCTTAGATGAGAAGTGAAACATTTTCAAAGAAAAAAAAACAAGAAAGTTCAGTTGCCTTTTGGAATAGCACCTTTGGGACAACCATGACCTGGATGATTGAGAATCTCCATAGGCAGTTTAAAGAAGTTTAGTTTAGTTTAATGAAGGGAAGGACTAGGGGTGACATGATAGCAGTGTTCCAATATCTCAGGGAGTCAAGCTATTCTCCAAAGCACCTGAAGGCAGGACAAGAATCAATGGATGGAAACTAACCAAACAGAGAAGCAACCTAGAACTAAGGAGAAATTTCCTGACAGTTAGAACAATTAATCAGTGGAACAACTTGCCTCCAGAAGCAGTGAATGCTCCAACGCTGGAAGTTTTTAAGAAGAGACTGGACAACCATTTATCTGAAATGGTATAGGGTTTCTTGCCTGAGCAGGGGGTTGGACTAGATGACCTCAAAGGTCCCTTCCAACTTTATTATTATTATTTATATTTATTTATACATTCCTTTTCTGAACCTTTATTCGCCTAATGAGATATCTTTCTTTTCCTTCTCAGTCATCTCTATCCACTTAAGTCTGCATTTTCCTTTGCTTCATTCCTATGAATTCTTTTCTTTGTTTGCCCACTATCAATAGCAATACACCTAGATGTTCAATATTTTTAGCACTATTATTAATTATATTATATTGCTAATGATAATTGGGACATCAAATGCCATCAGTGTACCTGTAATTTTTGGACTGCACATTTATTTTCTACCCCTGACATTTAGTTGGGGGGGGGGTATCAGAGAATCTGAAAAACTTTCCCCCTTAGTGACATGTTCAGTATATTATGATGTACTTGAATTGTACTTATATAAAGGGGAGTAGAGCAGTGAATAGAAACTATAGAAATGCAAGTATCTATTATATTTGTGTACCATACACTCCCAGCAAAGTCATCTATTTTAAAGCTTTATTATAAAAATAGCAAATTATCACAGTAAAACTTCCCTCATGCTATGAATATCACCCATTCTTCTTTGTAATATAAAGAATGAAGCACAGTTCATTTTGTCTAGAAGCATACCTTTGACATCATGCAGTGATGCATTATTATTGCTATTGCTAGTTGATGTTCTGCCACTATCAAGGCTGGCCGGTCTGGAAGCTAAATGCAAAAGAATCAATACATAGCATAAAGCACCTATCAAATCAGATTATACTGCACATGAGATATTTCATTCACAGAAATGAATGAATGATCTCACAAGTAATTTGGCCTTATCACTAAAGGGCTAGGTAAGAACCAGTAGTCTGAATTGCATTCAAGAATACTCATTTGGACTCCTCCATCCCCCGATACCAAGACATACCTTCAACACAATCTTTTCGAGGGCCTAGGGTTGAGATATATAATTGGGTATCATCAACATATTGACAATATCTAATCCTGCTGCAATAGATGACCTCACCTAGTGGTTTCACATAGAAGGTAAACCGCAGTGGGGAGAGAAATGCTGGAGTTGTACAGACAAGACATGAGAATCTATAATTAACAATCCAGAGGACCAAATGCCTAAGGAATCCCAGGCAAAAGCTGATCTATTCAGAGAAGAAGACTAGAGAGAGCAGAAGTCTTCTTTTCTGCTTTATATGAAGGGCCCATTAAGAGTGACTGGGGCCAGGGAAAGAAGGAGTTAGAAAGCATCTATGTGGAATCCACAATGGACCATGACATGATAAAAAAGAACCTCAAGAGAGATTTCTGCATTTACCCAGAAGAGAGTTCCCACAGTGGCCATTAGGAGGAGGGTGAAGAAAGGACAGGAATCAATGGGTGTAAAATAAACAAAACTTCTTTTACAGATGATGATTCTGGGAGACACAAGCCAATGTTAGCACTGTGAGAAAGTATTGTTAATTTCAACACTGAAGTAATCACTTTAGCATTCACAATAATCATTGGAGATTGTACTTCAGGAATTCATATAAAAAGCAAAGTTTGTTTATCAAAAATATAAGCATTTATATCCATTGTCTGGGAATACAACACCATCTTGCATAATAATCTCCCTGCAAAGGCCTGTCCCAATTTTTATCAAATTGGTGGGAGATATATGTTGGTATTAAAATCTCCGGAATTGCACAAACACTAAAAAAGTGCACTAATTCATCATTTACTGTAGAAATATGAATTTGGCGTTAATACTTTTTAAACAATATCCCTAAAACAGAAAAGATGTTTATAGGCAACTTTTAAAAAATGCTCGACAGCAGCAGTCCCCAACCTTTTGGGTTTTCCGAACTGGTGGGCAGGGGGAAAGGGGGTGGTTCTGCATGAGTGGTGGGCAAGCACGTACACACAGCTTCATTTGTGCAAGCGGTGGGCACACAAACCCATCACTCACACAAATGGAGCTGTGCGCGGATGCCGCTTCCAGGGCCAGTTCCAAACAGGCTGCGACCCAGTACTGGGCTGCAGCCCAGGGATTGGAGACTCCTGCTCTACAGCAGTAAAAAAGATATGAAACAAGAAAAATAGAATTGTGTGTTTATAATTTAAAACATGGTTAAAAATAGCATGTATACATGTAGAAAATTAATTTTGTTTAAAGCATTTACAATAGATTTTGCATGGATATCACCTATGCAGAAATGCCATCTCAATAGAACAAAAACATTCCTAATTTAACATCATGTACTCTTAAACCATATAGAGACAGTATTAATATAGTTCAGAGTAATGCATTTGATTTAAATCAATTTTGAACAATCAATTAAATTTTATTTAGCTGTAGCTTCTATTTTAGCACTCTCTAATTATATTTCATAAAGACAATACATTAATATATGTGAACATATGTTAAGAAACAGATTGTCTAACTGATTTTCAACACTAAAGTCTGACATTTAGAACTGAAGAAATGAATCTTGCACTCAACTGTTTGTTTTACTTAAACAACTGCATTAGGGAAATGGGGAAGAATTTTATTACATTAAATAAGATGAGATGAGTTGAGATGAGATGAGATGCAATTTGAAAGAAGAGAGAAAAACAGTCAAAAACTGACAAACGCTCACTTTCAAAACTGTTTTTAGTTAAACTTCATCAATGTTCCCATAATGAGAACTCATTTAAAGTATAAATCTTACCTTGAATTCTTGAACCTGTACTAGAATCGTCACTAATTCCTTGTGGACTGACATCTTCAAAAGATGTTGCATCTAGGTGGAAAACAAACATCAAAACCTTAATATTAGTTTATCATCTAGAAAATGCTATGAAATAGATTTTTCTCCAACAAATTCATGTTCTCACAAATAGTAAGTCAGAAATATAGACCTTTTCCCCACTACATAAATTTGTATTAAATATTTGCTGAAAAGTCATGAAATATTAAGCATGAATAGATTTCAATACCACTAGTGTTGCTAACACAGCCACACCACACTGAAAAGATTCTACCTATACCTTTATTATTAAGCAACTGCTTGGATCTCAAGCCTGCAGCAGAGTTGACAGTTGCAAAGTTGATGGATGTAGTAGAGAAGGCCATAGATCCCAATTCTTTTCTCCTTTTACCCGTGGATATATCATCAGGACCTTCCAGATGCTCAGAACTACCTATCCATTGTCCTCCTGCTAAGACCATGGACTGCATCAGGTCATTCATTGCTGGGATGCAAATGAAAGCAAATGAATCAGCATGATTCAATGATTTTTATTGCATTGTAAAATGCTTCACATTTATCTCTAATCATCATACTGAAAGCTACATTCCATGTTCCTATATGTTACAACATGCATTTGGCTGAATGAATGAAAAATGTTAAAAAGCAAGGCTTTCTTGTAGAGATGATTGTAAATGTTTTAACTGCCATGCTTGCGCTGGAATGCTACATAAATATATATTAGAAGCTCGGATGTTTGTAATGGTAAATGGAATGAACAGGGTAAGATGAGCACAAGTGCTTATATAAAGTCAGTGCTGGCAATGATAAGGGGCCCTTTATTGTGCAGGCTTCTACAGGGATAGATAATTGTGCATAACACTAGAGATAAGGTTCTAAATTAAATGTGCTCTATAACAGCTATCTACATATTGCATCCTTAACTTAAAAGTAAAATAATACACTGGCAAAAACTTGCCTCCCCATTCCCCATGTTCAGAAACTAGTAAAATATAAACAGGCTACTATTTATGTTTGGACAGGTTTTACTTTTAAAAAAGAAAGAAAATAGTACCTGTCTTTATAAGACTTGTAACTAAATTTAAATTTAAAAATGTGTGCAAATGTGTGCCAGGTACCTAGTTATCCATATGTATTTATGCACATATGCTCAAATGTTCCTCGCTTAACAACCACTCATTCAAAGACTTTCAAAGTTACAATTGTGCTAAATAAATGGTACTTATGACCGGTCCTCAAAGTTCCAGCCATCAACTACCCTACAAATGCATGATCTGGGCATCTGGCAACTGCGGTCATGTGATCATCATTTGCTATCCCTCACTGGCAGCTTCCAACAAGCTGCCAATGGGGAAGCTGGCAGGAGGTTGCAAGTGGCCAGCATGTGACATTGCGCTTAACCTGGACACTGGACTTGCTTAACAAAGGTAACTAGAACTGGAGGAACTGCATCACTAAGTAGCATGTTCATGTAACATTGTGTTTTATGACATTACTTAAGGATGGAAATTCCAGTCCCAATTATCATAGCTACCCGAGGATTACCTGTAACCTCCATAACTTGAGCATATGAATGTATCTCCATTTTGTGTTATTTATAGAGCCCAATAGTTATATATATTCAGTGTCGGTGTTTAGAAACATTGCTTCAGCTCCTTGTATACAGCAGGACTTGCACTATGCAGAATAGGGAAAATAGTGCAGTCCAGGGAAGGGTTAGGAAAGTTAGTAATAGATGCCAGTGTAGCCATTTAAAAAGAAGCTGAACTTTCATAAAGTCTTACACATGGAGCGACGGTAGAAGGCCTTCATTTTGTCTTTTTCCTTCGGTCTGTTCCTCAAAAAGGGCAGTCTTTTCAGTGCAACCACTTTTATGTCATAGCATAAGGAAAAACAGAAACAGTAAATGAAAGAAAAAGGGGAGAAGAACAGATGGAAGTTAAATGCTGAAACTAAGGACAGAAATGAATGTTTGAGTTTCCACTAGGTGCAATTTACTAACAGCTATTAATTTCATGTTGCTGAAGGACAATGAAATATGAAACCTCCATAGTGAAGCTTCTAAAACATCCAGAAACCCTGGAAATCCTATGGGAGGAACAAAAAGAATTTCCATTGTTCAGGATTAATAAATGTCTCAAAAATCAATCTAACAAAACCCAAACAAAGCACTGACTTTGAGACGGAAAGAAAGTTAGAAATCACCAAGTAAGGTTTTGGAGATTGAAAAATGTCTTTAAAATGCTAATTTGGTTTATTAAAGATCATTGAGCTTTGCCCTTACTTGCTACCAAATTGTGGCTGTAGTTTTTTTTAAAATTATTTGTTCGTTTGAGCCTGTTTTATTTCACTAAACTGTTGTGTGTATCAGTTGCAAAGTTCACTTTTTTAATATAATGCCAAGATTCACACATTGCACTAAGCCATAATCTTCTCTGTTTTTGCCTTAATTGATGCATGAAGCAGGGTCAGAGAATAAAAGATATTTTGTTCTTGAATAATAAACCATTTGAAACTATTTGTTGTTGGTTTACTGATTGGGTTCATACTTTATGTTAAGTGTAACATGATTTCATTATAGCTTAGTGTGATATATGAATCAAGCTATTGTAGTTTATTTACTTATTATTTATCAGTTTGCTTACTTATTATTAAATAAATATGCTGCTGATTCTCAGTGATTCTGGATGACTCACAAGTTAAAAAAAGCATGTGTGTATTAGCTTAATGTGGTTTCTTCCATAAATCATGATTAGCAAACTTCAACATAGCATGTTGTATAAACTCAACAACTGCATCCGATAATAATGAACAAATGTGAATATATACCATATAGTTTCCTATTTTAGTCCCAACTTCCTTTGTGTCCTATCAAGTATCCATTCCACATGGACATAAGACAAGGACCAATAAAAATAGGAGGGGGGAAAAATTCAGGAATTGGCCAAATAAGAGCCAAAATAACTATGTTCATCTGCAGAACAGACTTTAATATATCTAACTTTTCGTATTAGTCACAGTTAAAACAAGCCATGGCTAAGCATGACCAACCATATACTATCTAATTAAGAAAGGAAGTGTAAAAAAAATGTAAACAATCCATTAGAGTGTCATCTTAAACAATAGCACTTGGGTATTGGGCAGGGGATGGTATCATTCAGAAAATTGATACCATAACAAAAGAAAAAAGAAAAATATGACATTGAAGAGATGTTAAAATCAAAAACAATTTTAAATTCAATGTTACAAAAGGATTTTACATGGACCTCTTATTCCATACTTGAAATCCTATGCAAGAGGACCTGGTAACTAGAAAAAAAAATTCAGTGTGGATTTATTGCAGTCCAAACACAAAGCATATATGTACATTATTAATTTCAGAAAAATAATGAGAAAAATCAAAATGAAGTATGTTCAATAACATTAACTTCCAAGAAGTTATATATGATACCACAATCTTAGAAAATTTAATCTTTACTTATGATCTATCTATTTTCATATGCACTGCATTTTTCACTGGAGGATTTTGCTGGAGTAAAAAGTAGGAAAAATTCCCAGAAGTACAAATCTTTCCCATCTACCAATTCCAACTCTGCCTCTCTCATCTAAATTAAACCAGGACAGAGTACTTCCAGTTATTATTTCAATCTATAACTCCATCCTAACACTTCAATTCTGGATATATATTTCTAGGAGTACACATGAAAAAATATATTGTATGTCAGTCTCTGTCAATGATTTAGCCAATTTGGTGAAGAAAGTGGTGTTTCTGTACTTTGAACTCTTATTATTTTGATCCTTTTTCAATCTGGATTTATATTGGATTTGACAAGTAGACTATCTTGATTATTCTGGTGAATTCAGAAATAGATAGGGAAGAGCTACTTTGTTGATAGTTCTAGATCTCTTGTCAGCTTTCGATAGCATTAAGTAAATATTTGAAGGAGAACTGAAATTGGACATACAATTTAGTAGTCGTTCCTTCCTGTTTTTCCAGATGCTATCAGAAAGTGATACTATGAGATTTTGCTTGACCTTTTTGGAATTATCCTTTATGGTACCACAAAATTCTATCTTCTCCCCATCTTATTTAATATGAAACACTGAGAAGAAACATGTATAGTTTGGAGGTAGATCTCATAAACGTGCAGGTAACACACAGCCAACTTGTTTGGATTGCAAGTTTGGATTGCAGTTCTCCAATGTGTAAGAAACAGAATGGGAGAAAACAAAGTGGGATTCAGTACAGACAAGGTGGAATTTGTATTGATTCTAAGAACTGGAAATCACAAGTCAGCTGCTATACAGCAGTAAAAACTGATAATCTGTAATGGTGAAGCTGACAAAGAGCCTATCTCATCCATTCTACAAATTATATCAATGAAGGAGAGGTAAAAAGTGAAAAAAATTCACTCAAATGTATATTATAGATATATTGTACTTCATAGAGAGTACATTCAGTCAAGCAGTACATAAAAATGTAGGTCAGAATGTAACTGTAAATCACAAGCTATCTATTATAAACTTCAGTTTTGCTGAGATGCACATAGAGTGAACAGAAGCTTCAGTGCTTGTTATCTGAAACACCTAAAATGATACCAAATTGTCATTAATATAAAACTACAAAACTTAAGAACATTTTTGTTCATTTTAAAACATTATTTAAAATGTTTGTATAAAAATATAAAAATTAAAAGGTAGGCACTACATTTACAACTTTTGGCAATAGGTAAAAATTTTAAGCTATTTGCCTTATGAAATATATATTGTATTTTTTTTAGTTTATGAATGAAAAAACTGCTTTTGTTAATTAAATCAACAAACGAATATTAAGAATTCAGCATTCCAAAAATGGGTATACATTGTTTTGATACAGTTCAAATACCTTTAGAACAGAATTCTGAACAGTGACCACAAAAGTGTAATGCTCATAGACTGGATTGTGAAAATAAACAATAAGCATTCTGCAATTTTATACAGCCCACTAAGTTTACTATTTAAGGTCTTAACATTGCTAAGTCTGAATTTCCTTATTTTGGGGTTTGTGTGCTAAACAGATCCCATTTGCTACTAATATAACCTAAGATCAATCAAAATTGGCCAGTGTTACTACTGAGCATATTGTTGTTTTGATGGCAGAGCACAATTAAAATATACAAGCAAAATGAATATTAATATGCCAATTGCTTGCTTCCCTAAGTTTACATAATAAGCACGGATGATGGCTATTCTTAAACTGAAGGCTAGAATGGTGTTGTGCTTAACATATTGGACTAGAAATCGGGAGAGTCAAGTTGTAGTCCACCCATAGCCTGGAAACCTTTGGACCAGTTGTTCTTTCTCAGTCCAACTACCTCACAGGGTGGTTGTATGGAAAAACAAGAGATGGAACCGTTATGTACATTGCCATGAGCTCCTGAATGAAAGGTGGCATATCTGTATTAATAGGTATATAAATACATTCCTCATCAATATGCAGCTGAGCTTTACATATAATATATGTGAACCAATACACCATCTCTTCCATGCAATGTTGGAGACAGGGTTGCACTTTATTAACTTCATCAGATGGCAGGTTGGTAATGGACATGCAGACAAATCAGATCAGCTCTATAACTAAATAAAAGATGTTCATAAGGAAGCATTTTACAGGAAAATCACATGATAAAAATGTTGTGAGTGAATGAGAAAAACAATATATATATAAAAGAATTCGGGTAAAGGAGGTACAAATTTCACCAGCCAACTCTAACCCATTGGTTAATTTCATTTTCAATAGTGAAGCCCTGAAAGACATTTAGGAGTATACTCTGCTGTAGAGGTTGCTTCTCCACTATCAACCACATAATAAGTACTGTATTAGAATACTTTAAATGCAGTTTCCTCCCCCCAATAGATTCTGAACTGGAAACATTATAGCAGATACTACTCCCTATTTAAATTTTAAAAATTACTCACTGCTGCTTTTTTTAGTTCCCACTATCTGGCCATCTTCAAGTGAATTTGAGCCCACAGAGGAACTATCTTGACTATCTTGATGTGGCAGCTGAAGAAATCCTTCACTAGATTCTGAGCGGGTTGGTGTTAGAGTCAAAGATTTGAGGCGTTCTCGGTTGACATCTTTCTTTGATTTTATCAATTTCCTCATTTTCAGAGTAATCCAGTTGCCTCTCCTTTTGAAAAACAAAATGAAAAAGAATGTGAAAGGTTTATACCAGTGTTTTTCAACCTTGAGAATTTTAAGGCATGTGGGCTTCAACTCCCAGAATTCCACAGCCAGCAATGCTGGCTGTGGAATTCTGGGAGTTGAAGTCCACATGCCTTAAAATTCTCAAAGTTGAGAAACACTGGTTTATACAATATAAAGAGAAACCAGTCAACTAAAACTGAAATGCTATTCATCTGATGAAATGCTGAAGATGGGACATGAGCATGCAGCAACAGCCCTTAAGTAGCGTACTATTATTTTGAAAGCCAATTAGCTCTGACTGACCTATTTAACGATACTGTATGTTCCTGAGCAGTAACTTCCTTTTTTTTTTTTAAGTTGGCAAGGAATTTAAGCCAAATGATGTTTCCAAATTCAGAAGAATTCTAACATTGACAACATTAACTCCTTCCAACAACTATTCTTGAAGAAAAAAATCAAAATATTCCACTTGAAGAAACACTTTTGCTTTCATGGCGAGGGAACTACAGAAGCATTAAACCATGTTTGTTATATTGCCTTTATTACAAAGGTTATTGTTACAGGTAATAACTCCCCATATGAATACTTTTAACCATATGAATATTGTCCAATTAATGTGATTTTATTTCTGGTTCTGAATGAGGCATTTTATAATTTTACATTGTACTTGACATACATTGTACTTTAACCACATCAGTTTTATAATACTTTATTTTTATTACGATTTTTAATTTGCTGTCTCAGTTTGTGGTCTTCTGTTCTGAATGGATAAATAACCAAAATAAATTGATTGACTGACTGATGAAAAAGAATGCTAAATTTAGAATTTGTTAACATTTCTCTGGTCATGTGACTACAACTTAAACAATTCCCAACAGAAAGAAAACAATGTCCTTTAACTTAGCGGTCACATTACCTTCTAGGGGGAGATGGTTCATAGAATTTATACTGATCCATAATCTTTTCTTCTAATTTTTCTTTTTGTCTTCTCAATTCATTCAACTTGTCACTATAAAAAAATACATTTCAGAAGGACATATTTCTACAAAATTGCTTTTCCTTTTAATTTTGTATCTAAATATCTTAATACCTTTTCATTACAGGTCTCACTTTATAATTAATTGTGAAATTGTTTTTTAAACAGCACATGATTGATCCAGATTACTTCCATGAAGATTTTGATTATAGAAATATATTTCTGCAAAAGGAAATTGTAATCAGGGACTTTTATGCTTTTATACTAACTTTTATGTTTTAATTGTAAACTGCCCAGAATCACCTACTGAGATGAGCGGGATAGAAATGTGATAGTAGGCAGGCAGGCAGGCAGACAATAGCATCAGGCTAGAAACCAGGAAACCCTGAGATCTAGTCCCGCTTTAGGCAGGAAAATCAGCTGAGTGACTTTGGGACAGTCATTCTCTCACAGCCCAACTTACTTCACAAGGTTGTTGTTTTGTGGAAAACAGGAAAAAAGGGGGTATATGGTGGGTTTGCCATCCTGAGTTATTTATAAAAATAATAGCAACAGGATAAAAAAACCTAAATCTAAAAATAATGAACCCACAATATGTTCTGTGAAAATATCCCCAGTATAAAGCACGGATTTTTCCTATTACAAGTGTGTGTGTGTGTGTGTGTGTGTGTGAGTTTGTGCCTGTGTTTTAACAAAGCAGTAACTCAGCCCCCAAAATTAAATCACTTTTTGAAATGGTAATTTTTAAAACATATATTGTTCAAAAATTGAGATTACCATGTTTTACATTGACAATTTCCCTTTTAAAATAATATTGTAAATTTCAAAAATTGGGATTACTCTTTTTCAAAGTAAATATATGTTTATCTCACAATTCCTATACTTTTCCCCATGGTTCTGTTTTAGTTTGTACACTTCTCTCTTCAGTATCAAAGGGCAGATTTTATTTTGACTAAGAAGACACCTTTGGCTACAATTCCCTTTTGCACAAAAACTGCATCTCCAGTCATGGATGATAGATGCTAATAATGAATGGGGTTGGCATGAAAATTCTCTCTAATTCAGAAGTATTTTATTATGCAGTTATTGGAATATAGTAGTCATTAAGTAGTCACAGCAAAATTCAGATTACATTTTAATGGTATACGCAAACATTAAATAATTAAAACATAATGCTTTAAAACAGTCATTTTATATAATTTACATCTTTAGTCAAATAAATTGAAAAGATGTATTTTAAATAATCTTATCATTCCTTATTAATAAAAAACATCAGGGGTAGAAACAGATTTGCTTATAACTTGTCATCTAGAAATCTGTCAATTTCTTTAATTGTTTACACAGAATTTGAGTAAGACTCATTCAAATTAATTCAGCACTGAATATGCTTTCATAGTGAACATGAGTGTCTAAAATCTGATTAGGTGTTAAAACATTTTTCATCAGTTCTTAAGAAAATGTCCCAATAACATTTTCATGATTTTTATTTGACAATTCAATGGCAGCTATGATTTTGTAGCTGGCTTTCCTGAATTGATACCCACATATATTGTCTTTGCTCAACATGGAAGAGATCTTTGCTTTCCATATTCTGTTCCAAAAGTGTTCTGTTTTGTAGCATTAAAGTCTGTATTTGGTCCAGTAGATGTCTGTTTTCTTCTTCTAAGTTCCCTTTTAGTTGGCTAAGCAACTGTCAAAATGTCCAAACATAACATTTAGTGCAAATAGTGACCCAATTTTATTTATACAGTGCAGTTAACTAAGATAAATAATTAATAACACAAGCTAGCCCTAGAAAATACATTATTTTCAGTTGCTTTTCTTTTAACCAAAAACACTCTGCTGGTTCTCTTTAAGTTTTATTATATTTTTGGCTATCAGTAAATATATCTAGAATTATAGCCAATGGGAATGGTATATGACAAATTTCTTTTGGGGAATATTTCAGGGCATTTGTCAGATTTTTGCCTCTCTTTTACACACAAGATGAAACAATGATTATTCAACATGAAGGTTTCTTATTTTTAGGGATAACAGAAGAATCCAACAATGCTAACCCATTCTGTTGTCCTAGAAAGAATAGATTGTAAATTGAGTAAACCGAGAACTCAGTTCTGCATTTACATTTAGTTTCATTCATATAGTGATGAACTATCATACAGTGATCAACTATCAACTATAGTGAAGTAGTAATACCACTTTATAATGCCTTGGTAAGGCCACACTTGGAATACTGCATCCAATTTTGGTCACCACGATGTAAAAAAGATGTTGAGACTCTAGAAAGAGTACAGAGAAGAGCCACAAAGATGATCAGGGGACTGGAGGCTAAAACATATAAGGAACAGTTGCTGGAATTGGGTATGTCTAGTCTAATGAAGAGAAGGACGAGGGGTGACATGATAGCAGTGTTCCAATATCTCAGGGGCTGCCACAAAGAAGAGGGAGTCAAGCTATTCTCCAAAGCACCTGCAGGCAGGACAAGAAGCAACGGATGGAAACTAATCAAGGAGAGAAGCAACCTAGAACTAAGGAGAAATTTCCTGACAGTTAGAACAATTAACCAGTGGAACAACCTGCCTCCAGAAGCTGTGAATGCTCCAACACTGGAAGTTTTAAAGAAGAGACTGGAGAGCCATTTGTCTGAAATGGTATAGAGTTTCCTGCCTGAGCAGGGGGTTGGTCCCTTCCAACTTTTTTAATAATAATAATAATAATAATAATAATAATAATAATAACAACAACAACAACAACAACAACAACTACTACTACTACTACTACTACTACTACTACTACTACTACTACTATTACTATTATTATATAACAGAGATCTGTTTAATAAAGGAACAAGGAAAATTGGGAATGTGGGAATGTGGGAGAAGAGCATAAATAACGAAAAAAAGTTTTATGACTAAGCCATCTGGGTCACACCAGAAATCATAGAAAAATCACTGTTCTTTCTAAACTTGTTAAGACCTGGCATCCTCTTGCATACAAGTTGTTATAACTAACTAATCTACATGATCTGGAATGGATGACCTTAAGACAAAGGAATATGGTGTAATTCTTTCTGTCTACAGTCTCTTGTACAAAACCAGAGAGCTAACTGATAATGTTTCATAAAGGGATTGCAATGAAAGGTACATTGGGGGAGAAATTTCACAGAAGAAAATCCATCATTAATTCTTTATAAGAAACATTTAGCCCAGGATAGATTGACAGGCATAAAAAGCATGAAGGAAATGACTGATATTTCTCTATGTGACATGTCTGGATTTAAATTTAAACAGAAGAAATCTGAGTTTCTTTAAGCCCATTGCCTTCCAATCAAAACATTTGTACCTACACCAAAGGGAGTAAGTAGTATATATGCAGGGCAAATCCAAGAACTGAAATGCTTATAAACTTGAATTACCATTGGAACCAAAAGTTTTATATTGTAAGGGATTGGACTATGTCCCCTGTATATGTTCCTACCCAACTGGAGAAACTTGTCTGTTAAGACCTAATAAGCTGTCAGTAAATTCATGTAAATATTCATATTATCAGATTTCTTTCATCAAAAGCACAGAGATGTTGACCTTTTGGATAAAGGGCATCTATTGATGGCTGTCTAATAAAGTATGACAAGCAATTGTAAAAAAAATAGTAACTCTATGGAAAGATTAATATTATGAAACAAAAAGTAATTAAAAGACTTATATTGAAAAGTGATTCTTTTGAAGATTTTCAGGTGCTACATTGCTATCCCTATACACCCCAAATAATCTTTTAGGAATTGAATCCAAAGAAGTTTAAAGCCCTAACAGCAAATTCAGATCTGATTTGTTTTTAGCAACATTTCTTTTCTCCAAAGAGAGTAGTATCAAGTCCTTTATGCTAAATGGATGACAGATGAAAGGCTCCCTCTCATAGTCACATCAATTTATTTCCTTCTTATAACTGAATTGGGGGGAAAATACGTTGGCATAAATTGTTGGCTGCCCCTGCAGCCCACTTTCATTGCATCTCAACAGCCTCCCTATACGTTGCCTTCACAGGAGTTAACAGCTCGTTAGTTTCAGGGCTAGGTGGATTTCATACTTTTTTTGCCTGTCAATCTATCCTGGGCTAAAAGCTTCTGCCCACCTAGTAGTTCGAAAACATGCAAATGCAAGTAGATTAATAGGTATCACTTCGGTGGGAAGGTAACAGCATTCTGTGCACCTTTGGCATATAGCCATGCTGGCCACATGACCAGGGAAATTGTCTTTGGACAAGGGTGGCTCCCTCAGCCAAGAAACAGAGATGAGCACCATGCCCTAGAGTCATACAGGACTGATAGGGAAGCCTTTACCTTTAGTTTCAGAGCAGTGATTGGTGGATTCCCTGGCAAGAGTCTGTATCATTTTACATTTGCTCATGTTGAATCTGCTATTTTTACACCTAGTATCCTAATCCCTTCTTCTTGGTTATTAACTGATAAATTCTAAACAATTTAGTGTGATCAGCAAACTTGCTTATTCCAATTATCACATCAAATTCTAGATCATTTATAAATGTTAAAATATACCAGTCCTAATACAGATTCTTGGGGGACCCTACTAGTTATAACCCTCTATGTAAAACATGTTCATTTATTCCTACTTTTTATTCATTATGCTTTAGCCAACTACTTATTCACAAGAGAATCAGCCCTTTTATTCTGTTGCTGTTAAACTTACTGAGAAATCTTTGATGAGGGACTTTATCAAAAGCTTTTCAAAAATCTGACTAATGAAGTCTATTGGTTTGCCCTTATCCACATATTTATTAACACTCTCAAATTCTCTGCTAAATTAGACAAGATCTTCCCTTAAAGAAACCATGTCAAGTATCCTTAAACAAGGCCTATGCCTTCCAACTCTTCCTGTCTAATTGGTCCTGGACATGGAATAGGTAGCATTTCAAAGAAAGCTACTCTGGTGGTTCTGGCTTCCAGCTTAGCCATCTGAATTTAATTTCTAGGTCTTCCCAACTATATTTAAGAAAGTCATTAGTGCCCACAACAATTGCCTCCTCTCCAGCAATATCTAGCAATCTATCTAGACAGTGCATAGTACCTGTAACCTTCATACAGGCAGACAAATCACCATGCAATCAGCAGCAGACACCAGGTAGTCACCACCAGACACCCAGCCATTTAAATTCCTAATGATCAAATCATCTGCCACCAGAAACTTCATTACCCAAGGAGAATTCTCAATGCAAGAGAAAACCTGTTCGGACTTTAAGGAATGGGTTTCTTCTAAGGGAGAACTTCCCTCTTCCTTAGACTGATGTCTTCCTTCCCCAGGACCCTCGTTCTCTGAAACAGCCAAGGAGCTGTCACCCCATGAATAAGACTTTTGTTACATCTCTGAGCCCTTCACTTGCATCTCTCCCTCTCCCCACTGTTCCAGTAGAACTATATTTCTCTCAGGGGAATTGTTTCCTGAACACCAAAAGCTGTTTGCACTGAACACACACCATGATCTCTTCCAGTAATCCCTATTTAACATTTTCTGCTTCTCCTCTGCTCTTAGTCTTGTTTCAACAGTTGTGGATTCAAACTTTCACTTTTATCTTTTTAGCCTTAATTTTAATTATTTACTGAGTATTTCTTCACACAGCACTAACAATCTCCTAGCAGGCAGACATTCTGGTCAGAGAGAGAGAGTCTTGGTGTAATCATGCTCACCCTATTGCAACTGAGATGGAAGAAGAATCAGAGAATACATGCTTTTTGTTTTTGTTTATCAAACATTGCTTGTTTTTTGGCTATACCTATCATGACATCCATTTTATCCTCCTAAACACAGGAAAAAAGGTACAAAGCTGAGGAAAAAGTAAAAGACAGAAAAGAGTGGAAAATGGCCAGAAATTACTATACCGAGTTGAAAGTTTTAATATCAAATTATCTGCAACTTTTCTGGAGATGAATGAATTAATAAATCCATTATTAGATGCATTCTCAAACTTAGGAAACTTCTTAACTCTTTATGTAAAACATAAACCCAATATTTGATTCAATAAAGGAAAATTTATTAAAGTTGTTTATGGTTTTTAATATCTTGGTAAAAATATACAAAATCAGTATTTTTTAAAAAAAAAAACTTTAAAAAATTATAATGGCACCATGAAATAAATTCTGTGATTGGAAGTCTCTTTTACAAATAAGTCCTATCTTTGATGCTGAGCTTTGGCGAAGTGAGTGGGCACGTTTTGCTATTTCATGCCAGACAGGCCACCATCACATTCTGTTCTAACTTGTTCCAACAGCCATCAAAAATACTCTTCTACCAACAGAATCAGACTAAAATCAGCCCCTAACGAAGTTCCAAACTATTCCAACTAATGTCTTCTTGAAACCCAGGATAGAATAAATTAAGGCCAAGGAATTTAGAGACCATATTTAAAAATATGTTAAATTATGAAATTTGTAATTCTAATTTATTTATAAATGCATATAAATATACCATATATTTAATTAAACTGTAATAAAGCATTGTAAAGATAGTATAAACTGATTACCTCGCACTGATTATTTAATTTTGTGTGAGTAATGTCCAGTTGTTGATATTGTTCTTTAAGTTTAGAAAATTCAGCCTCCAGTCTTGTTTGCTCTAGTTTAGAACTGTTTAATAAAGTTTTTAAATTCTTGTGATCAACCTGAAGAACTTCATTCTCTTTCAAAAGTTGTATGTATGTATGATTTAATCTGTAATTAATAATGATAAAAATGAAATAACAATATTACCATAAAATTTGCTTTCACAAACTGTCTGTAAACATTATGAGAGATCCTTGGTGCTTTCTGATGATGTTACCTAGTTAGGGTAATGAAACATCTGCAAGAAAACAAGCAAATTCAGAGAGCACCATGGACCCCTGTGAGTTATGCATGTAGTATTGTTCTTAACAACAAAAACAAAGCATGAGTACTAATGCTACAACCTTTTTTGTATAGTATTTTCCTCATATCTAAGATGGATTTCTATGAATTTATTAGAGATGGATTGCAATGTTCTTAAAATAGCTCAAGTTTTAACAATGCTTTTGCACTGTGCTGAGTAAAATCCAATACCGCGCCAATGGAAATGTCCTGTTTTTTCTCCTTTCCCATTCCCCTTTATTCCTCAAATCTCTTCCACTGATTTTAAAAACGTCAGAACAGATTTTGATTTCAAGACAAGGGAAGGTTATCTTTCTACTGGTTTTGCCAATGGAAGCAATTACATCAACTGAAAGACTTTACTGTATTTCAGTTATGATCATGGTCAATTTCAATCTCTATAATACAATATATACACAGAGCCTAAGGTAGTCCTTTACTTAACAACCTGGAGCAGCCTGTAAAGTACTTCTGACTGTCGTAGAATGACGTGCCTCCATTCCCCAGTAATGTACTTGCATTTCAGGCACCTTGCAAATGGCTCACCTTTATAACTGCTTGCAATATCCTATGGTCATGTGACTGTGATTTGCAACTTTACTGATTTCTGGCATTTTTTGCCAGTTTCTGCCAAGAAACATTCATTCATAATGGGCTGACACTTATGATTTCAGCGTTCACTTAATGACCACAGAGATTGCCCTAACAATCGCCACAAAAAAGATTGTAAAGTAAGGCCACTCTCAGCTTATAATTGTAATAACTTACAACTGAAAATCTGGTCCCAATTGCAGATATAACTCAAGGACTACTTATAATTCATTAGTATTGTTTCTCACCTATCATTTTCTTCACAAAGCTTTTTGTATTGCACTGCTACCATTTCATGTTTCTTGTTTTGCTGAAGCATTTTCTCTTGCTCCACTTTGAGGCCTTTTTCCAATTCCTCTAGTTGTACTTTTTGCTGAAGTAATTCACTGTATCTGTCAGGTGAATATAAAATTATAAGAAGTATTCTCAAATATAAATTGTAAAAATAATTAAGAAACTATATTTTGCTTTTTTATTAAACTGTTTATTAAATCATTCTATGGCTTTCCTAATTTAGCTAGATTTAGCACAATGTAATTACCTGTCTTCTAAATCCTTATATTCTACCTCAAGATTCTTATGTGCAGATTTAAGGTTTCCATGTTTAGAAATGAGAGACTCATATTCAGCTGCTTGCCGCTCATGAAGTTGTTCCAATTTTTCATGATCTTTGATTAGAGAATCATAAAATGACTTCAGGTCTTCCCGTTCCTTTATTATGGATTCATTTTCATTTTCTAAGGTTGATTGTTGAATCAATAGCTGTGCATTCTGGTTCATAAGTGATGTGCTTTGGGAATTAATTGTTGAATTCTCCACCTACAATGAAAAAAATTAGTAATTAGCCAATGTATAACGGACTCCTTTTAATGTATGAAAAAAGTATTTTTCGTTGCCATCTTCTTTCAGCTACAGGTAGCCCTTGACTTACAACGGTTCATTTAATGACCATTCAAAGTTACAACGGCACTCGGGAACCAACACCACACCGGAAGTCAGCATGCCTTGATGCTTGTTATGGATGGCTCATCTGAGTTTTCATGTTTCACAGTAGACATCTGAACTGATGGTCGAACCACGCTCCATGAGCTTCATTAGCAGTACTCCTTTGGCATCTTCACATTTGGCGGGATTTTTTATGGACCACTTCCGGTGTGGTGTTGGTTTACGATAATGCTCACCCACACACTGCTAGACGCACCCAAGAACTTTTGAAGCAGTTCTGTTGGGATGTTTTTAATCACTCCCCCCCCCAGATTTGGCGCCAAGCAACTACTACTAAGGAATTTCAAACCTTATAAGACGTTATGACAAGTGCCTTAATTTGAATGACGATCATGTCGAAAAGTAATGTAATGTTGTAGTTTTCTAAGGGGTATAATAAAAGTTCTATATCTGTGAGTGTGTGTCATTGATAACCAAATGGAGGTTTATTTCTGAATTGCCTTCATAGCTTACTTGCAGTTTCTTTCTCTCAAAACAATATGTTCTGAAAGGGAAAAAAAAGAAGAAACCACAGGTTAAGACTTCCGGTTTTGCGCCTGTAGCACATGGCCGTGCGAGAATGGACCTCCGCTCTCCACGGCTAGTATCAAAGAGGTGACCGTGAAGGAGGGGCGCCCCGTTGATCAGGAAGTGACGGTGGTCACTTCGTTTGGTTCAAGGGAAGCTCTCCGAACCCGACAGGAGAAAGGCTAGTGTGAGATCAGCATCTAGCCCAAGCTACTTGCAGCCGAAGTCCCACAGCATGAACATGAACATCGGTGAACAGCGTGCTTGGAATTGGTGAGAGTACTGATCTTCTTTCTTCTATCTACTAATTGAATTCTTGAGAAAGAGCCCCAAAGCAAGGAAACCTCCGGAAGTGAAGGGAGGGGACTATATCCCATTTCCCTTATACACGGAAGCGGCGAATTACTATTAAGGAGGAAAGAGATATACTAAAAGTTGATTTAAAATACTAGTCTGGACAAATCTAGGAACTAAGAAACTGTCAAGATTATACCCTAAAGAGTTTTTGATGGAATTATAAAAATATACAACAAAAATAACTTTTTGATTGAAAAAAAAACTGAAAAAAGAAATAACTGCTGACATCTAGTGAAGAATCAGAGCATAGAACACTAACAATAATGACTCAGAAATTGGCAGAATGCCTAGAAATAAAGAAAAAGCTGTTCCTTTGAATTGCAAATAACCTTGAAGACAGCTGGGAACAAAGGAAGAGCCAGCTATAAGATTAAAAAGTGTCTGAAAGGGGAAAAAAAGACCTGGACTATTGCTTAAATCTAAGAACTGTTTATGGAAAAGAAAAACCTTGGCTTTTGGCTAATCTTTTAGAGAAGAATTTACAGGAAGGATTTAAAGTGGCTTAACACACTGAATTGTAATTTTGACTGACTTGATAAATTGACTTTTGAATTAAAACATTGATGAAAGATTAATTAAAGGGGGGAGACAACATGGACATCACTTACATATCAAAAAATGACAGGATGGCACATTCAATATTTTCTCCTGAAGGATTTAGCCTGGAAAATCAAGAGCCTCCAGAAGTAATATTTCAAGGCAAGATAAATACTTTACAGGAGGAAATATATGTAATGTTAGGACAAATACAAATGACAATAGACTCAAATCACAAGGAAATTCAAAACAACTTTGATGATTTAAATAAGCATATTTCCAATCTAAATCTACAATTAAAAAACACCCAGGAAATAACGAATGAACAAATAAATCCGATAACTGACTACAAATTAGAAGAATATGATCAAATTGATGAAATAACAAATGAAAAGAATTACAATTTAATACAAACAGGAAAAAATCTACAAGGTTCTGATACAACAAGAAAAGTGGACTATAGATTTACCAGGAGAACCATCAAAGTATTCATCTTACTTACTTCATCTTTTGTATTCCCAACAACATTTGTAAAAACACAGGAACTGCCGGGTAAGTGGATTATATCAACCAGGAAAACTACTTGGCAAAAGAAAAAGAACAGAGACAGATACAAGAGATTTGACTCGCCATACCAGATGGACTCAAATACTTTGGCCACCTAATGAGAAAGAAGGACTCACTGGAGAAGAGCCTAATGCTGGGAAAGATTGAGGGCAATAGAAGAAGGGGACAACAGAGAATGAGGTGGCTGGATGGAGTCACTGAAGCAGTAGGCGTGAGCTTAAATGGACTCCAGAAGATGGAAGAGGACAGAAAGGCCTGGAGGAACGTTGTCCATGGGGTCGCGATGGGTCGGACATGACTTCGCAACTAACAACAACAACAACCAGATGGACTATTACGTGAAAAAACATTTATTTGAATATGGCTAAAAGAATAGAGAACTTTGAACATAAAGGGGCCCTATTACAAGAGAGATAAGAGATTTAAGTAATATAGTATGTTCCATAATATATGAAATGTAAAAATAGTAGGTTGATGTAACTTTTATTAATTTAAGTGAAAAGGATGTTATATCTAAATACTATAAGATAGATAAAAAGTATAGTATTTTTATAATGCATGACATAAAATATTGGGATGATGTACTTAAATGGGAAAATTTGGACAGTTAGGTGACTAACATATGAAGAAATTATGATTGGTAAGAATTGGATTGAATATAAGGAAAATTACCGTAAGCGTAAACAAAAATTACAAAAATAGGATGCATGCTGAACTAATGAGATGATGGATATAAGAATAATATAAGCTGGAAAAAATGTCATACATAGAGATTATTACTATTTGTATAAATATAAAACATGTCTATATCTGATCATTTATATATTGAAAATATTAATAATTATATTTTGGTTAAGGTTGAAAGAGAATATAAATGGGAGAAGGGAAGATCAAAGAAATATATCATTAATTAATATACTAATTATGGAATTATCAAACTTAATCATTATTAATTATTATTGTCCTTTTTTCTAGTTAAAATATAAACCAAGACAACACGCTGTACACCAGGCACTGACAGGTCAGCACAGGATAATGCGTACTGAGTTTAATACTGATCACATGACTGAGGTCATAAACAGGTTGTAAAGTTTTTTTTCAGCACCATTGTAACTTTGGTCCCTGAATGAATGGTCAGTAAGCAAGGACTACCTGTAAGTTATAAATGTGGAGAAAATATTTATATATGAAAACAGAACCTGAAGTTTTGCATTTTGAGTTTGCAGGGTTGTATTTTGCTCCTGTAAGGAAACAGTCTGTCTTTGAAGTGCTAAAATCTGAGCTTGCAAATTATTATTCTGCGTCTCATGTTGCTTTAGTTGAGTTTTCAGGGCTTGCTTCTCTGCTTGCAGAGTTGCATTCTTTAGAAATAAAAAAATACATATTAAATGCATGTACGTCTTCAGTAAAACAAAAAAAAATAAATATTTTTAAAATTCTGTATCCAACATTAAAAAATGTCCAAACTTTCAAAATTAGTAAATTAAGATCACAAATTATAAGCATAACTTAAAAACAGATAATATTTAAGTTAAAATCCCACATTTCAAGCTGAAACTATAGAGACATATTTAAACAACACTATATCAGAGGTCCCCAACATTTTGGGCACAAGGGACTGGTTATGTGGAGAGGGGGTTTTCCGTGGACCAGAGGGGGTGTGGTTTTGTGTGCTGCCTGAATCCTGTGGATGGGGCTTTGCTTGTTTGTGCAGACCGGTTGCTGGCATGCTGCGGCCTGGCACCAGTCCACAGACTGGGGGTTGGGGACCCCTGCAATGTATGACTAAGGGACAGTGATTAGGAAATCAGGGTAGAAACGGGGAAATCTTTGTTCTAGGCACAAAGCCAGTTGAGTGAACTATCACTTTCTCTCAACCCAGGAAGGACGGACTGGCAAACCACTTCTGAAAACTTTTGCCAGAAAACTGCAGGGACTTGTTCGGGCAGTCTCTGAAAATCAGACATAACTGAATGGATGGGAACTAATCAAGGAGAGAACCAACCTAGAACTAAGGAGAAATTTCCTGATAGTTAGAATAATTAATCAGTGGAATGACTTGCCTCCAGAAATTGTGAGTGCCCCAACACTGGAGGTTTTTAAAAGACTGGACAACAATTTGTCTGAAATGGTATAGAGTTTCATGCTTAGGCAGAGGATTGGACTAGAAGACTTCCATGGTGCCTTCCAACTCTATTCTGTTATTCTAGAAAAAAAAGAGTGCAGAAATGTTGTCAAGGCTGGAACTGTGACCAGCCTGTTACAGCCTTGGCAACAGTTCTGCAGTCTTTTTTTCTGGCCAGCACAGCTTCTCTGGATCAGAGCAAGCTGAAGAAATCATATGCTCCATAAGACTGCTTCTCACTCATGAATAAAGAGTGGGAGATGAGGAAAGGAACATCAGGCTTGCAGCCTCAGTGGAGCCTTTAATTGGCACTGGGTCTAAACAAATCCCACTTTCTAAAGCACTTTGGACTACAATTATTTAAAGGCTATAAATGATCTTTGAAACATTTTTATTAGACCATTTGGTAAACATTCCTATGGCAAGTGGTGTGACTAACAGAAAAAAAAGGAACAAGAATTTAAAAATTAATTTGCAGCATAAAGCAAAATTAACAGTTGGGATTAAAAAAGTTTTTAAATGGACAAAGGGAACAGAAATGTTTTGATGGACTTTGTTTATACAGTATTAAGTTCCTCTGAATTAATTAAATACTGCATCCTTCCATGAAGAAGTGTTTTGTTTGGATTCTCCAAGGAAAATGATTGATAGATTCTAAAAGAGTTCTTGGAGAACCCAAAGACAAAAAAGGGTCATGTGAAGGGGCACAGACTGCAGAATTCTGAAGAAGAAGAAAAATTCTCCTTTTTTATATTTTTTTCATTTTGAACTATAAACTATGATAAAGATAGCTACCACTAGAAAAATAGTAGCTAAAGAAGGGAAGGAGAAAATTGTTGATTGACCAATCTGCTGAGATAACACCTGGGAATTTACAAAGAATGCTTGAGAAATGGGAAAGATTGTCACAGCCTCAACAGCAGCTGTAACACAGAGGAAAGACTGAATTTGGAAGAAAAAAATTCATAGAAATACATACTGCTTATACAGTAGTCAAGAGGAAAGTGAAGGAACAGGAGGGAACCATGCTTGGGGCATGCACACAACAGGCCTGTGACTAACTAAAAACAAATTAAACAAAGCCCACACAGCTCTAAAAGATTCTAACATGTTGTCTGTACAAACATATCACCTGTGTAAGATCCACAACAACCATGCAATGTTTAACAGTTTCTAGTAAAACAAATGAAATACTTACATTTCTTTCAACTTCAATTAATCTGTCTTTAACCTTCAAAAGTTCTCTAGTAGTTTCCTGATTCTCTCTTTCCCATTTAGTGACAGGCTGACTTTCTTCATCAAGTTTTGAAGAATAACTCTGTACCATTTTCTCCTCCTCTTGTCTTTGCTTGAGGGCTTCATAATTCTTTTTCACCTAAAGATAAATTAGTTCAAATTTTAATATACAAATTATTTATTACATTTCTACTCTATTTTCCCTCAAAAAATATATACATTTTAGCTTCATAAAAACCAGTTGGAGGTTAGGTTGTTAAGTCAGAGTAAACTGACTGAATGGAGACCTGAACCTAGGTCTCCCCAGTTCTAGTCAAATAATCTGATCATTATTAAGGACCATTATTAATTGTCTTTATTTCTATAACAGCCTCTTTTGCTATGAACTGCAAAAATAAACAGGATAAAATGCAAATAACAACCTGATCTCAAGATCTGTCAACATTATTATAGAAATGTGGAGGATAACATTGAACACTTCTTGTCATTATTTATTGTTGTCATAAATACTGCATGCAAATATTTAGTATTTGTTTAGCCCATATCAAGATTTTTTTTTAATGAATGCATTGTTAATTATTCCATTATTTCATTTATGATTCATCAAGGCTCATACAGACCAATACATGTTCAGACTACATGCTATACCATTTGGAGTGCACCTTACTGAACAGAGATAGAATTCAGTTTCCAAGCACTCAAAAGAATTATACATCTAAATATTCTTATGACTTAATAACTTTTAAACTATATTTTAAATGATCTTATTTTTTCTATAAAATTCAAGACTCAATATTAATAAAAATAGAAATATGATGCAAAAATTAATACTACCCCTCATTTTTAGAGTAATTGGGAGCCAGCCAGCCAGAATAAATCAAGTAGAGTGTAACACTTGCAAGAGAGGCAGAAAGAGTATAGTGAAAGGAATTCTGAATTCTGCTGAGCTAAGGCCTAACAGCTATTCCCCCACTTTCCTATTTTGAAAAAAAGGAACAGTTTAACAGTGGAAAAGTACAAGTTGTGGGAAACTATACTTTAACAATGCTTTTGCTTTCAAATTAGCAGTGTTTGTAAACAGTAAATATTTTTAACTTATAGATTTGCAGTTTAATAAATGTAAACTTTTTATGAACTTAAAAATAAGTTGCAGTTACTACATCACAAAAGAGATGGGAACAGGTTTTAACTTACTATCTTAAGCTCTTGGCGCAACTGTCGATTTAGATTAGTTGATTCTTCTAATCGCGCTTCCAAGGCAGCAATTTTTTCTTCTTTTATTTCAAGTGATTTCTTCAGTGTGGACTCTAACCTTGACTCCAAAAGTTTGTACTTACTGTTTAATGAAACAATTTTAATGAAGTTGTCATTATCAGTAATTCACTTTAAATAAATCATAACCTTTATGTCAACTTAATGAATTTGAAATTGCTAAACTGACAGTTTTGGAATATTTATATGAGAAAAAAAACACTGTTCCCAGATGTCAAGAGTGTGCATGTGTTCAAAGCTTGACCTAAATCTATTATTTATTTATTTATTTATTT